AGCTCTGGCCCTTTAAGAAAAAAAAAAACCTGAGGAAAAACCCCAGTACTCAAATGCAGGTTTTTTTTGTTTTTTTTTCACCCTAAACTTTGAACAGCTGTTCAGCCAGCTCTGCTCAGAAGTGCCATGCATCCTCAAGAAGTCTTGCTTTAGTTTTTCTCCGTAGGCAGGGTTGTAATCAGTTGTAATCATGTGGGTGCAGACTGTTCGTCAGGACAGTTCAATTTGTTCTTGCAAGATGGATCTGTCCTCCTTGCAGGTTCTAATTTTATATTGACATGATATGCATAATGAGTGTTACAGCAATATTTGTAGCAGCTGTCAGTCAACACTTTTTCCCTTTTTCAGCTGAGCTTTTTATATGCTGTGGAAAACAAATTGGATCTTTTTTTTCCAGAGCAAACTGCAAATTCTTCCATTGCCTGTGGGAATTGGCAGTAGGATGAATCGTTCGTCTTTAATTATAAGCATTCATCCATTTTATATATTTATTATAAAGAAGGAAGAGCAGACCCATGTCAATTCATTTATTCAAAAACCCTAAGAGCAGAAAGCTGAAATATTACTTATTTATATTCCACTGGTAGCTGTAATAGTTCTGGGTACTGTACATCCCTGTGCCATCAAGGGAATGACTTGAGGCTTCAAGTATGGCTGACCTAGGAGCTAGTAATGCCACATACAGTACAGCTGGACACACGATGTCTTTTTTGGTTTAGCTGCTAACAAAAAAATTGGAAGAAACAAGTGTGACTCTTCAATTACACCAAAGAGAGTGATTTAGAGGGTGTTGGGGTTGACAAAAAACAGAATAAATCACTGCGTTCCATTTTTAACCTCTCTTGTTCCTTCTGAAATGAAATTATTTTATCACTGTCCTGATTTGATTTGGCTAAATCCAATTCAGAGATTCAGCCGCTGCCAAATCTCTGAATCGGTCAGGCCCATCACCCACCCACTTTCCCAGCCCGGCAATGGCTGCCCCGCTGGCCCCAGCTCCCAGCACTTTGGGGAAAAAAAAGCCCTGGTGCTTAGCAGGTGCTGCCAGGTGGGAGGTGATCCCTGCTTCCCCCCACTGCCCCACGCTGCATGGGGGGCTCTATATGAGCCCCCC